TGTAATTTAATATTTCTGATTGGTTTGTTTTTCAGTATAAATGGTTTGTTACAAGCAACAAATCGACGTGTCCTATTTGCCGTAATCTTTTTTAAGTGATTGGTTTGGTTGTTATCGATGGTTGTTGAAAAAAATAAAAGCATGTTTTTTTTAAAAATGACTTATAATTATTAATATTAGAGAACCAGATCGTTGGTCTAATTCACATGTGGTATTTGAATTTGGCCATTATTGATTTGAATAGTTTGTTGATGGATGTGGACATAAAATGGTTGCTTTTTAACATCGGGCGGTTATATTAACATTGGCAGCTTTTCATAATTTTTAACAGTAGATGTAAAGGTTCAATGAATCAAGAAGTCCTCGCATAGTTACTACCGCCCCGTTTCATTAATTATATTAAGAAGATTTTATTTCTGAGGTCAATAGCTGGTGACGCATGGGTGATCTATGTTAGTTAAAACTTTTTCCTAATAATTAATATGATTAATATAATAGTATTTACTAGTTTTGATATTAAAATAAAAAAAATCCAAATAAAATGTTTTACTTACAATATATTCCCTTCCCATTAATCAAAAGGCCAAATGTCAAATTTTCATGCTTAGACATATTTTTGTCTTGTTGAATATGTAATTTTTTGAATAGCAACTAAAATAAAAGTAAAAAAGTATTATTGAGCAAACACAATAAAAATATAGGTCTTTAGCAGTTTGCGACTCAATATGCCCACAATCTAAATTTTGTTTTTTTTCGTCCCTTTAATAAGCAAATGTCTCGATCAGTCTATTCATCATATATATATTTTTTGCATGGATCTATACAAGTATTTGAGTCAATTATATTCATGAACATACTTAACTTACTACAACTGGTAAAAAAACTAAACAGCATGTAGTCTATGTAATTTGCCAAATGCGATGAACTTTTTGACTTCTTTTAAAACACTGTTAATAAATAATATTTCTTCTCCTAAATCTTTGGGGACATGGGATTTGTGAAGCAAATTAGAGTGCTGAATTTCTTGCTGATATTTAGGTATTGAGATAATGTATACACATTTATATTTACTATTCACTTGTCAATTTTATTTATTTATAATTTTGTATATACAAGTAAGATTTTAGATGTCTAAATACTACTTTTAAATAAGTATAATGTATATAATTAGATTTTATTATTTCGTATTTGTAGAGGTACAAATAATTTGTATATATTTGAAAAATACTTTTTTGTACAAAAGTAAAAATTATTTGTAACATGTTTATTATTATATTTTATTGAGTGTTTACTGTTTATACATTGTTGATAATATTTTTGTATCATATGTGTTGTTAATATTGTAATAATTCATCAAAGAAAAAACATAGACTTCCTAGTGTTTATGAAGAAGACTGACGCGTAGAATGGATAGAACGATCAGGAATCTAGAAATTAATAAATATGTCCATAGAGTAATTTATAGCTACATACCAAATATGGCATACACATTTTGATGTGCCATTTGGCAGTGCAGGAATTGATGGGGAAATTAAAATTTTGGTCGCCAGCCTACTTTGAATTTTACACGTAACATTATATGTGTACCTAACTTCGTTTCTCATACAGATACAAGTATGGAATATAATATTGTTGAGTAAAACCGCCAATCAATGTTATATTATAATACGTAGTGTATACCTATCTTATGTGTAAATATATAAGTAGGTAAGATAATTATTCGAATATCGGAATATAAATCAGTTGCAAAAATCTGTGACCATGCAATGAAATTCGATGTGTGTGACCCAACCACCCAAGTATGGCAGGGTGATAATTAAAAAAAAAAAATGAACTTTATTTAACCATGTTAAGTTAGTGGATAGGTATAAATAGTGTCCATACTACTCATAGGCGTGCGCACGGGTGTTGCAGGGTATGCTATAGCAACACCTGCGGGCTGCAAACACTCACAATTTTTCTAACCATCAGCAGTAGGTAATACTCTTCAACTGATTCCTACAGAGAATGATATACAATTACTTCAAGAAAAACTTAAAGTAAATTCTGATTGTTTTAAAACAGAAATCAAATTACTAAAAGAACTTCCAGATACTCCTGAAAAGACTTCTTCTGAATCTATAGAAAATTGGATAGAATGGTTACTTAAGTTAGATAGACTAAATATATTTACTAATTTTTTTGATATTTTAAAAACATTTTTAGTTATTCCAGTCACTAGCTGTTCTAGTGAGAGATCATTCTCAAAACTTTCGTTAGTGAAGTCAAAGTTGCTGAATACAATGAAACAGGATAGACTTGATTCTTTACTGTTATTATTTGTAGAACAAGACCTATTGACTAAAATTGACTACAATGATGTCATTGAAGAGTTTAAAATATTAGTTCCCGGGGAAAGACGTCTACCATTATAATAAATAATATGTATTAAATAAATGACATTTTTGTATTTATCAAATAAATAATGTGTATTGTCTTATTAAATACCTATAATTTTTAGCAACACCTACCACTAAGTCCTGCGCACGCCTATGATACTACTCACATAGCAAGTTAACTTTAGTTCAATGTTTATCTAAAATTTCAAATCCAACATTGAATTTTATAACTTCAAATTCTATAGAAGTTTAAAGTAGGTACCCATGTAAGTATTATATGCAGGGGTTAAAGTGGAGGGACCCCCTACCACTACCACTGACGTCGCTTAAAAAGCGTCCCCTTTAACAAATTAGGACTTTGTACATTAGACATTAATACATGGAACGCATAAAAATTGTGTGGAGACATTAGTAGTCCCCTCCAGAATTTTTTCCCACTTTAACCCCTGATTATATGTTGGCTAAATTAACTTATTTATTATAAGTGTTTTATTAAAATGTTATTAACTTATAACATGTATCGCTCATAAGTCATATTATGTTGATATAAATTATAATCCCACACCTATGTAATTCATAAGTCGGGATTTCGATGAACTTTGCATATTGTTTTCCAAAGTTACATGACTTTCGTTTTATAACACAAGTATCATTTATATGTAGTTTTTTGAAAATGTTCGATCCCAAGTTCATTTTATGGCATCTACACTAAAATCCGTTTTGTTAAATTTAATTTTATGATTTTTACTTAAAACATTAACTTTGAAACTAGCCAACAACGTTCTTAGTTTTCACCTAATCAAATATTATTTTGTACCTAATTTTAAATTTCGAACGCATGTGTGACGTAACAATTGAGATTATAAGTAATGCGAGCAATGGAAAATCAAACGAGAATAATTGTTTTTTCAATTGGCTCATTGAAGACTTGATGACTGATGTTGTGAAGTATTCTAATCATTTTTATTGGTTCAAAACTTGTCTAAAATAAAAATAAAAACAGGTAAGTGTGTCGCTCTGCTGTACAGTTGTAGGTTACAATAGTGGGTCACTGTAATTGATGGTGTTAAATTTGAATTGAATGACATAATATCGTTGTATTAGAAAAACGATTCTGAGCGGAGACGGTAGTCACTCAATGTCTATGGATATCTATGGTATGAAAAAAAAATTGATCTATAATAGGTACCTAGAATAAATTCCAAATTAATCATATCACAATATCTATTAGGTACTTACAAGCCGTCATACATCAACAACAAACCGTGTTACAATCATAGATATACAATAGTACATTTTAGAAGTTTCAAGTACCCACGAATAATATTATGCAATCACAATAAAATAACTAAAATGGTTAGGTTACAATATTTACACCTATACCCAAATCCACGTAATATTGCATATTTGCATAAAAAAAAACAGTTGCCAAGTGGATTACTGAAATTATATGTTCTGCTATCACTTTCATAGTATAAAGAATTATTTCACTCTAAGAAGTATATCGCCCAAAATGTACCGCTTTGTAAGATCAAGGAAACGCATGCCCTTACTGGGGTAATGAAAAGTTATGAAGGACCATTTAATTATACATAATTGAATAATTCATTATAAAATGATAGTTTTTTAGGTTTTACTATATTATTTACTCTAAAAATGAGATGACAATGAACAATATGAATAATGTATTACCTTAATTTCACGACATCGGAACCATTAAATATGACCAGTATCTAAACACCTACCTTTTTAATAAGTTTTATTTTTACAAAACAACACTTGAGTCGGATCATAGAGTAATCAACAGAGATGGTGTTTAGGAATAAATTGAAGCTTCAAATACCTATTAATAAATTAAGTTAAATGTAGAATTTGATATTTGTGAAAACATAGTTAAATTCATTTAAATTTACCTAAAAGTCAGTAGTCTAATAAACAGGGTGATTTTTTAAGCATGATCACCCTATTTTTAAGCTTAAATCACCCAAACATACAAATTTTGTCTTTTTGGCATTTTTAAATACAGTTTAGGTCCATATTTTTGAATTCTTGAGATTATTTGTACCTCTTAAGGATGATCCTGTGACAATACGAACTTCTATTTTTCAAACAGGAACCCCGTATTATCATTTTTAATTATTAAGCAGTCATTTTTTTGAGAATTTTGATGTATATTATTCACACACATAATAATATGTAATATTATATTTGGTAAGTGGAGGTGCTCATAGCATTGATAAAGTATATAATATTTTAATCAATGCTCATAGTTACCCACCGTATAAACTTTTATTTTTTTTCCAAACTTGTAATTTAATATTTCTGATTGATTTGTTTTTCAGTATGAATGGCTTGTTACAAGCAACAAATCCACATTTCCTATTTGCTGTAATAATTTTTAAGTGTAAACAGTAAACACTTATTTGTTTGATTGTTATCAAAGATTGAAAAAAAATAATAGCATGTTTTCTAAAAATGTATTTTTTTTAAAAAATAGACTTAAATATAATTATGAACATATTACATAACTAAAATTATATGTATAAAATAAAAAATTGAAATTAATCAAATTATTGAACCAGGTACCATATACCTAGATATGCGATTTAAACAATTCAGAAATTAATCTACATAATGGAGTGTTCCTTCTTTTGGAGGGGACGTGCCGGTGATAGTACCTTCTTGGGGGGAGGTACCTTGCTGAATCCAATATGATGGTACTTGTTGCTGTGTTTGGTATGTAATAGTGGCCTGAGGTTGTTGTTGTTGTTGCTGCTGCTGCTGCTGCTGTTGTTGTTGTTGTTGTTGCTGCTGCTGTTGTTGTTGTTGTTGCTGCTGTTGCTGTTGTTGTTGTTGCTGTTGCTGTTGTTGCTGCTGTTGGTGTAAATCAGCAGCTTGAGCTGGAGTAAACGTCTGATTTCTCATTGGATCAGGCAATACTGTGAATGTTACAGACTGTGTTCGATTAGATTCCGAAACTGGAGTACCAGATCGTTGATCTGGTTCATATCCACGGCCTGCATTAAAATACATTGAGTGTAAATACATGTGTATATTGATATATATACTGAGTATATTTATGTATGTTCAGTTTAGACACAAATAGTTAACAAATTAAAATACAATTAATAAAACTATAATTTCTAAATGTTCTTATTGATATTAAAAACTAAATAGAAAAAAATAAAATCGCTTAATATTGAGTGGAATATTGTAAATGCATGCTTGACAGTCAGTATTATGTTTTAAATATTGGTAAATAGTAAATACTAATTAGAGTCCTTGCCAGATAACTTGGTGTGGTGGAGCGATAACGCAAAACCTGGTGTTCTCTGTGTGGATATTATTACCGAATAACAGTGAATTACAAGTGACGTAAATTAGTAAATATCATTTTATATCAGTATATTTCATATTTCCCATATCACATTAATCTATTAATAATGACATTGTCAGCTGGGGTGGTTTATTTTTATACATTAATGACAAACAAGGTAATGGGGAACGCCGCGCGGCCAAAAGTCAAAACACAGCGACTAGTTTGGGTTACATCTACCGCCGCCATGCACTTATCTGGTAATGACTGTAACTATATTTACCTGGATAAAACTGATATCGCTGTTGTTTATTTCTGTCAACTTGTTTATTTATGTCTTCTGAAAATTAATTTTAAATTACTATCGAAATAATTTAAAAATAATTTGAAAATATTTACCTTTAGCATTCATGTTTGAACATTCCTTGGAGCGCGAATCACCTGAAATTAGTATTTAATTATTAATTATAATTTATGATTTCAAACAAAAATTATAATTTAAAAAATAATTCTAAGTCCTGTAAAAATTAATGTTAATATTATTAGTTTTCCTTTGGAAATCTGAAAAATAACATGATTAGATTAAAAGCAGCTACGCTGGAAAATATAAATTTTCAATGTATTATTTATCATTACAATAGTAAGTTAACCTGTAATGTTTGAGGCACCTGTTGCTAATTGATGCTGAAAATTAGTCTGCGGAGTACGTCTCCCAGTATTTGAAGTAGCTACCATACCATTAATTGTCAGTTGGCGTATTTGGTTGTCGTCATTACCATCATTACTGTTGAATAAATTTATATAAATTGCAATAAAAATTAGTTAAATAAAAAAATTAGTTAAACATTAATATCCTCTTCTTCTGAAAAATAACATGATTAAAGAAACTCCTAAAATAAAAAACTGTTAGTGGGTTATTCGCTGTTAAAAAATAATTAAATAAATGTATTGCATATGTATGTGTACTTGCCCAGTAGCTGATGATGGTCCAGTTCGTATTATTTTGGCTCCAGTAATTCCTCCACCTTCCGATACAACCTGAAAACACTTTATGTATAGATTATTGACCTTTTTTGTTTCTACTTCAATTTAAATATCTAACCATTTCATAAGACCGTTTTAAGGGTTGATATTGAAATTGGTTGCTTTGTTGAAAATACTGAATGGACTGCTGCTGTCCTTGTTGTATCATGATAGGTTGATGGCTGTCGTCTTGTTTGTAGATGACTTGTTGTTTATCTGACATTTGAGTCTGAATCAGCTGATGTTGTGGTTTGTGTGATTGTTGTTGTTGCTGTTGTTGTGGAAGTGTCATTGTAACAATACCATTGCCTTGTGACTGTAGAATCTGATGAGATATTGGCAGTGACATTAACTGATTGCCACCAGGTGAAGCGGTTTGCTGTGTAAATGTTTTGCCCTGCTGTTGGAGTAACAATTGTTGAGTAGATGCTTGACTGACTTGTGATTGTAAAAGACCCGGCAAGTTCTGTATGATTTGTGGTTGAAGATTTTGGAACTGATTTAGTTGAGGCATCATCATTTGTATTTGAGCAGGTTGCCCTGGTGTCTGCTGTACAATTAATTGGCCATTGGGAATGTTTGCTGGGATCAATTGACCAGACTGTGTTTGTTGTAAATGAATAGTTTGCATAGCGGGCTGTTGGATTTCGGCCGGTGGTGGTTGTTGGTACTGCACAATCATGACTTGACCAGGTTGGCCAGACGGTTGCTGATATTGTGCCATTTGGTTACCAAGTATATAAGTGGTACCGATCAACCCGGAGTTTGACTGCTGGCTTAATTGGGTCACTTGACCAACATTGGGAGATTGAGCCATTTGGAATGCATTAGATTGCACTTGTGGTTGGTACGCTATAATTTGGCCATTAGATGTTTGAATATACTACAAAAATGATTTTGTTAGTTGATTTTGAAACTATTCAAAATAATTTAAATATTTACTTGTATAGGAAGTGCAGCTTGAGTCATAAATGCCTGAGTATGTGGAATAACACCATTAGCTAGTGTTGTAGGAGTAGTATGGGTAACAGACGGTGTATGTTGAACATTTTCTAAACTTTTCTATAATATAAGAAAATAAAAGTGGGTACATTAAGAGGATGTCAGCACACTATTTGTTTTATCTCCCTGGCCCAGGTGCAGCATAGACAAAACACATTAACGCAGAATCATTTTTTCTATGTTTTTAAGTAATCTTGGAGTAAAATCACCCATTACAAAAAAAGTAGAGAATAATGGTTTTTAGGGAACGACATATAGATTTTTATATTTTATTGTTATTTGACTTTCAAAATAAACAAAACAATGTTACACATTTAAATAATGTTTAAATTGTTTTGAGACAATATTTAGATAAATCGATATGACATTCCTTCAAAAATATTATTTTCTATCTTTTTGGTAATGAACGATTTTACTTTAAGATTACTTAAAAACATAGAAAAAATGATTCTGCTTAAATGCGTTTCGTTGCACGTGGGCTAGAGGAAAACAAATAGTGTACTGTACTGACATTATCTTAAATAATAATGAACACTATTATTTTAATATAGAACATACAGTTTGTATTGCTTGCTGCTGAATTAGCTGCTGTTGCTGTGATTGAATGGTCGAATAGCTGACTGGCGTAACAGACAATGGAAGTTGGTGCTGTTGTTGCTGATTGACTACTTGTGTTTGTATTTGAGGCATAATCGATGCTTGATGCTGACCCAAAGAAGCTATATGGGTTGGCCCCTGTGCGTTTTGTGCTGACTGTTGTTGTTGGTGACCTCCCATTACTGGTGGAGGAACAGCCATTAATTGAGGTACTGAATTGTACAGTAACAACCATTTAAAAATACAATTTTTTTTATAAATATATTAGTCATAAGCTTATTGATAGAAATTTTGAATAACAGTTTGTATAGATACTGGTTTTACTTGTAATGGAGTTGTAAGATACAAAATGACTGATATGTTTATCACTCAATATGGAATTTAACATTAATATTTTATTTAAATAAAATAATTTCTATAAATCTTACCTGCTTGTTGCGTAATAAATGGCATTTGAACATTAGCAACAGATGTCTGCACCACTTGTGATCCGTCCTGTAATGTCATCATTCCTGTTTGTGCAGCGACTTGGACAGTCTGATATTGAGCTGCAAATATATGCAAAAATTAGACAATTTATTTTTAAATGGACCATTAAAATATTAAAGAAGATATTTACGTGGATTCATTTGTTGTATTTGACCATTATTGGTTTGAATAGTTTGTTGATGGATTACTTGTGGTTGTTGGATATGCACATTGGATGGTTGGTGTGCAACATTGGGCGGCGGTGCCACATGATTAGCCGAATATGTAAGACTATATTCATTTTGAATAGTTTCGATTAAATTGAATGCTAATTGTCTACCATTTTGCAGTACTTCATTTTTTGCATGTCTATAATAGTAACAGGTATCATTAGAGTCGAACTGTAGCAACTCAGGTTAATAAATAATTAATTAAAACTAAAATTTAAATTACTCGACACATAGATGTAAAGGTTCAACTGATTCTTGTCCATTAGCTTCAATGAATCCAGAACCTCGTCCTCGCATGGTTACTACAGCCCCCGTTTCATTCATGATATAATGAAGATTAGCTCCGTTTAATCCTAATATTTTATTTCTGAGGTCAAAAGCTGGCGGAGCGTGGTCTAAGCCAATTAAGACTTTTTCCTAATAACATTATAATTTTCCTTACTAGTTTGGATATTTAAATAATATGAAACTCAACTAAATGTTTTACTTACTATTCCTGCCCCATTAATCAATGGGCCAGATGTCAAATTTGGATGCTTAGACATATCTTTGTCTCGTTGAATAAGTGATTGAATTTTTTTAATAGCAACTAAAGTTAAAATAAAAATGAATTTCTTAGCAAATAGAATACAATATAATTCTATAGTAATTCATGACTCAATATGCTCACGAGCTAAATTTGGTTCTTTCGGCCCTTTAATAAGTAAATGCAATGCTTTCTCTGTTGAAGCTTGATTTTTTTCTTTAGGAGTCATGTACCGTCCTCTGGTAACGATCACCGTACCTGCACAATAACGATTAATTAAATCAAGACATTATAGCAATAAATTTCAAGCAGTCGCAAACAGGCTTGCGGTGTTGCGTTGAGATTTCTGTAAACCAATAATTCTAAAAAATAAATCACCAGAATATTCTTCTATGTCATTTTGTATGGACTTGCTGGTGAGTAGTATACGGTCGGTGTCGGCCAAGTCGTTGATTTCGAACTGGGTTTTGAGCTGTTGAGGGGGCGCACATTGGGCCTGTGCAAGACGCGACGACATATTTTGTAAAAACAGTTTCTTTGGGTTTTTCGACTACAATATTAGACTAAGCCGGCACGAAAACTACTACACATACCTCCGGTTGGTCACCGACCCGTTTCGCTAGGGCTGATTCTACTCGGGTAGCCATCTCCACAGCCAGCTTGAGTTTGTTGGTCGGGATCGACATCATGTCGCAACGGATCGACGATATTCAGTCGGAATACGGTCCGACCACGGGACCGATGGTGTTCGGCGGGACGACGATCATTTCCGCAGCATTCAAAACCGTTACGAGGAAGAGAAAAATCGGTAGGGAACCTAAAAAAATGTGTTGATTAAACTATAAGCTACCTACTTACAGTATTTTCAACGAAATATTTTATTATTTTATTTATGTGTCGTTTTCAAACGCGATAACAAGGGACTGCAACAAGCCGAAAAGAAAAAAAAAATCATAAAAGATAGAATCAAGGAATACAACTGATTTCCAAACGTTTCGTGTTTATGAAACAAACACGTCAGCCAGTGTTGCCATTCCCGCGGTATTTAAACTAAATAAATTATTGTACGGCGAAAGAACGTTTTCTCGGTTCCGTCTTGGGACAATCACAATGAAAATTTATTATAAATTGTAATTTTTAATATTAATTTTTTATTAATTTTTACCATTAATATTTGTATTCATTTTCAATGTATACGCTTAATTATAATATAAACGTCCTAAACAGTTTATGAGTAGAATATCTCAACACGGTTTTTACTTCTTTTTTTTTTTAACTATCAACATTCACAACAGTAAGTCGTAGGAAATCTATAAGAAATTAAGGCATTTATTAAAGGTCGAAAAACTCAATAAACTAATACATTGATGTGTCACTGTCCCTCAGGGTAGGTACCTCCAACTTGTGATACTGGACTTATGGAAATTGTAATGTAGCGACTTACTACCTATCAGTGTTGTATAGTATTTGAGTAAAAGTAATTGAGTAAAAGTATTCAAATACTTTTTTCGGTATTGAATACTTTTTTAAATACTTTTTATTTTGAAGTATTTGAATGGTATTTTAAATACTTTTTTTTACTATTTAATACTATTTTATTGAATACTTTTATTTAATTTTTTTTATTCTCTAGAAGACAGCTTATTGTCGACGATGATCGAAAAGATACATCTGTAGTCGGTATCACTATTAGCTTAAGTTAACAAAATATATACGTAAAAAGCTTCTACTTAACGGCAATTATATTTTATAGTTTATAATTATTTAACTATACGAAAATAATGTTAATAATTATTAGTACCTACTGGCTAGTGGCTACCTATTTATCAAGAAAATTTTTATCAATTATTATCATTATTGTTTATCGATGACAGTATGAGATATCCAAATACATAATATAGCTTTAAATTATTAATTTAATATAACTCTGTTGAGAAAAATTCATTGTTGTAGTGCAACTAACATGACTAATCAGAATTTTGATTATTGAACGAATCATGTTTTTAAAATGCAATAAACGCATTTTTGATTATAACAAATTATTTCAGAACTAAAAAGTAAAAAGAATTTTTTTTTTGTATTTGAAGATTATTTTAAATACTTCTGAAAAGTATTTGAGTATTACTCAAATACTTTACTATTTATAGTATTTGGGTGGTATTTTAAATACTTTATTTTAAGAGTATTTGAGTAATTACTTAAATACTTTTAAAAAGTATTTTTTACAACACTGCTACCTATACAACTGTATGTCTGTACATTAATCACCTACGTTTTTTATTGTTCGCTCAATTTAACATATCTAATATGCAGAACTGGAACCGCCGAAAAAAAAGTCCCAGTTAAAAGTAAATTAATTAAAAAATTCTAAAATAATAACAATAATAGTACCTAGGGACGGATCCAGGGGAGGGCCTAGTGCCCCCCCTCAGACATTTATTTTTATAAATATAAATATTGTATAATATTAAATAACAAATAAACAAAATGTAAACTTCTTTTCACATTGTCGCTTTATGTATAATCAATAATTTATTTATCACATTGATTACATATACCTACTTGCCTACTATTATGACAACATTTTTAAATTAAGAATAAATCATAATAGGTATTTTATTATAATTGTATTTGTGTTGTAAAAAAATTGTTGCCCTTCCCCCAGATCTTTTCTCTGGATCCCGTGCCTGATGGTATCTGCGTATAATTATTATAATAATGCAATTAACAATATAATATTTTAATCACACCTCTTTCTCATAAGTTACGACTTTAGGACCAAAAAATGTAGTATATTAAGATACGGGTTATGATAGTTATTATGGTAGGTAGATAGAAAATATATAATGGTAACTTATAAGTTATAAGTAATATATTAACTATGTAAAAGAATTTTATACATTTTGCACACTGAAATACAAAATACAGCTGTAAATAAGTGTACAAGAATAAGTTTTCGGTAAATTGTTCACTAAACTTTTTTTCCGGAACATTTTTTTGCTGATTACCCAATACCGATATTAAATGGATGGTCGGTAGGTATTATATAGTCGGTACCTACGTTGCAAAGGATAAGACTCGATAAGAGTATAATATAATATTATTATATTATGTTACTCTGTACTAATCATTCATCAATAGTATGACCCAGAATAGACTTAGGTACCATAGATACCTACCTAATGCTAAATGCCGTAATGGGTTTTAATGGGTTGAACCTAAGCCAGTGGCGTGGTGAACTATTGAAATTGTTCAGAGGCAAGTCCAATATGCCACCCACCCACTAACAGCCCGATAAAGGTATTTAATATCATATTTTAAAGTACTAGTTAATATACTTATTAGATAATTTTACCCATTCACCCACCCCACACTCACCACCCAACCAGTGGCGCACAACACCTATCAGATATATGGTTCAAATAGTTTAATCATTAGCCACCCACCCACCCACCCAACCACACGTTCACCTATTATTTGCATCCATTTTACATTTTTACCTTCAAATGTTTACCTCTACCAAAGCATATAATAGCATTGTAATACATACAAATTACAAAAGAACTTATGGATGTATATTTATTTTACATTAAATATTTTTTTAAAACATCACTAAAATCAGAAAAATATTTTATGACCTGATTATTATCAATATTTATATCAGATTCGCATGATATGACCATTAAGTCTTCCAAGCGCTCTTGGGATATTGTAGTCCTCAACCTGTTTTTTATAATTTTGAGTTTTGAAAATGTTCTTTCCGGTGTTGTACTTGATACTGGCAATGTACTTGCAATATGCAACGCATCGTACAAACACGGGAAAACAATTTTCAATCCTGATTTATGAAGTATTTGAAATAAATGAAGTAATGTCCCCACATTTTGTAAATTTTGTTTATCACCAACTATTTTTTCTCCTTCTTCTTCACCAGAATTGTCTTCATCTTCATTGGCTTCACTTTTTTCACTTTCATCTTTTTCTTCATGGATATAAATTTTGCGAAAACCCACAGCTTCTTCAAATTCAAAAAAAGAGTTTGAGTATTGGATGTATTCTTTTTTCAAATCAGCACTATTGATAAAATTACAATAAACTTCACAAAGTGTATCAAAGGCATCTTTAGGCAATGACGAATTATTTTTCTTTTTGTTTGTCGGAGACAAGAAATTGAAAAAAGTGAAATATCCCTTAGTAAATTACAGATCATTTTTAAATTGTACAATAAACAGTAAACACAGTATTGTGGATTTAAACTTTTGAACGAGTCGACAAAAATAGTACAGAATACCTAATAACTAATAATGATCGACCGTCGAAAGAATGCAGCGCCCCACCACTCGGCTTAATTCGACGTTTCCACACGAAGAATAATAATATTCATTATTAATAATATTGATAATTCTATTTTCGTAACATTAACATGGTTAACACTGGTTAAACCACTTTAACCCGTGGACCATAATAACGAAACCACAGATAAGTTTATACAAACATTGACACACAATTAAATATTAATGATATCACGATTCACGGCCATATAGATATGCCATTGGCCGTGAATGATATAATTTAATCAGTAAAACTGAGGCCCTCGTCCCTATATTTTGTCTTTACATTATAGCCACCCACCCGGCACCCGCCCACCCAATAATTTACCTATTACATATTATGTCATAGGCAAAACCAACTTTCAGAGGCTCTGAGTAGTGAGTCGCTATAACTTAAAAACACTTTTTGTAATGAGTAATCGTAATGGATTTATGGAAAAAACATGTCAGTTAAATGTTTATCAATTTATAAGCCAAAACCACTGTTATAAGTTATAACCATAGACCTATAAACTAATGAACAGCTCATTCCACTCCGCCCTGTCATCAATGCTAGGTGGTCATATAACCATCTGAGAGAGAAAAAATAATCTATACCTACTATTAGATATACTACTCTACTGAGTAGTGAGTACTGAACACTACAGTACTGCTATCAGAAAGCTATAGAATGTTAACACATTGTGCTATGTGTCTCAGTGTCTGTCACCTGTGTTGTAGTTTATAACCGCAACTTCACACTCGATGATATTTGCATGCTAAAACATGTGATGTTTCCTGACCTAAGGAGTAAGGACAACCCACCCTAAATATACCTGGTTCAATTGAACCACCTTGACCCCCCCTTGGGCGCCACTGCACCCAACCTGTAAAAACTTTAACGGTCGACAATTACCCCCTTCGTCACGCAACTGCCCTACCCACTACACATCACCGTCCTGTGACAATCGCAGCTGCTGTCGTCGTCGGATTTCGGAGGGGTAGTTTTTTCTCATAGTGTTATTTATTGAGAGCAGTTATAATTTCACATAATACATACCTACCTAAATGTTATAAAACATACTTGGCATTAAATTGTTATTTTAGACCGGGTGTAGCTCCACTACTCCGAGATTTTATATAAATAGATAAAATATGTGTCACAGTTACTGTGACGGTGTGATGTATAGTCAATGTTCAATATTATATATTTAAATGTACCTAGGATGATATAGAAAATGTACATAGATATTAATATATTATATATTGTAATAGTAATGTATACTAATATATCTAAATATCTTTAACATTGTTCACTTTTCAGCAAAATTAATAAAACAATTACTTATTACTAAAAATATCTTACTATGGTCGTGAAA